TCTCTGCCTCAGTCACCATGGAAACCGTCCCACAGAGTTTATTGCTGCCATTTTCTTTTCTTTAGGCGTAGATCTCATTATGTTTTTAATAGATGAACATTCTCTATCTGTTCTGGTTCTAGATGCTAAACAGACTCGTTAAGTAGAGCTTTGCTTTACAGAATTCACCGCTGGTTTTTAGATGTTTGTCTCTTTATAAGATGTGTTCCAGTCAAATGTTAGAAATTGTTTAGTGTGTGTGAATCACAGAGACAGGAGTGAACAGAATCTGCTAACCCTGCCTAGTCTGAGCCTCTTTATACGCAGTCAGTTTTACGTGGAAAGAAGTCGGATCAGAGATTAAAAGTCGGACCAACCGGTGTGTTCAGAGTTATAACTGGAGTCGTATATGAGAGAAACTGGGGCGCCACTCTGACTGCCAGTTCTTCTAACCAAGCACAGCGCTGTGATGCAGACGGTACCGTTCTCACCAGTAGGAAAGTAAACTGCAGTAGCGGCGTTTCAGCCCATAGAGGGCAGCACTCAGACTGTTACAGGCCAGATATCAGAGGCACCTCTGACTCTACAGGCTCTGCCATTTTCACAATCGGTACAGTAAGCTAATCCAAACAGATTCTAAAGCTTTTTCATCAAATAATTTTAACTCAGGTTTAAATTTCTTCTCCTAATTTAACCTATTTTCTATAAACAGCCTCCGACTGTAGAGATGTTTTAAACACTGGCCTCATTTTTGCTAATAAACTTTTGTAAAACACACAAAGTTCACACATAATTGAATAGCTTTGCATTATTAATAACTTTGATGAATACTTTGAACACAAATGAAAAGGATTGAGTGTCGTCTCTATGCTATATTTTCTAGAAGAACTGTTATTTTTCAGTTTGATTCGTGATCCTATTGAAGATTAGGATCCTTCAGGTTCATCTAAAGTATAAATCTAAGGTTTATCTTTGTTTTTCTATCCCTCTGGTTGCTCTGCTTTCTATTGAGACCAGTCATTAAAACATGAAGAAAGGAACCTGCAGCTTCTAAGATCTGTTTCCTTCTACAGTAAAGGGTGTATATTTGAACCTCTCTGTAAATGTAGTTAAAAAAGAAAAGTGTTGTTCTCCATTAGTGCCACAGATCTGATGGCCACGCTGTGAGGGCTGTAGTGACGGAGGTGTTCACAGCACTCAGGCTCCTTCACAGCCAACATGTTTATTAGGAAAGACCTGCTATGGTTTAGATGAAACGGATGAGAGAACCAGTTCATGTTTGGACTGAGACTTTATTTCTGAATGTTGTGGAAATCTGAATCTTTGTAGGTGAAGGGAAGCAAACTTTGTACCACTTGTTTAGGTCAGCCTGGCTCAGTTCTGCTGATGGAAGGAGAATTCATCTGATGTCCAGCTGGAAAAGGAAAATCTAGAGCAGCACAGGAATGTTCTGGAATGATTGAGTTCATGATGCCAGCAGTAGTGGAGAGTTAGAGGCTCCTGGTTTCTGTGGCTGTAAGCTGGGTCATTATAACTCTGGGTAGAGCGTCCTACAGACGGACACACACCCAACAGGAGCCTCTTTTTAGGTGATCCGTGAAATAAATCCCAAAGCGATGCTGCAGTGTGTGCCCCATCCTTAGCAGATAAACCTGACCTTTCCGTTGGAGCCCCCCCCGCCTCCCACTGCTCCTCCCCTCCTCTCAGCGTGCTGTCAGAGCACGGCGAAGCTTTCACTAACCCGGCCTGTCAGGGCAGAAGGACGTGTCGCTGATTGAAGACCCCCTTTCACTCCAGTCCTTCACCTTAGATGTCAGCGCTCCGGTCACTGCTTCCTCGCTGTGAAAAAGTAACCTCAGAGATGACAAAGTTTACCGGAACTTAAACGAGCATGGTCTTAACAGGTTCTGAAATAATCTGATCTGAAAGGAAGCAACATGGATCACTGGAAGGCCTTTCTAAACCCAAAGCAGTGAAATATTTAAACTCCCCTGATGATATGGTGCGACTAGTTATTGACGTTTCACCGCAGCCATTAAAATCCATACGCCGCCATCAGCAGAAAGCACATGACTGACAAGCAGCCCGGGTTTGGAGCGGGTGTAAAGTAACGCGGTCAGCGCTCCCCTTTAGACCACCATTATATCCTCATCAGGTTCATTTACTTCATCTCTGCCATTTCACCTTGTTGTTTTATTTATTTAGTCACGCAGTAATTGAATAAATTAAAAAGAGTCCGCTCCAGTCTGAAAAAAGAAAAGGTTCAGTTTAACAGACGGGAAAAAACAGGAAATGAGTGGAAGGCGCACAGCACCAGGGGGAGGATTGAGAAAGCCAAAGCTAGTTAGGAGCGAGGTGGAGCCGGCCATGCGTGAAGAGACGCTGCATTTCTAATGACGCATCATTCTGGGCCTTTGTTTGCGTGCTCCGCTGAGACCTCGCACGCTCCTGCCATCTCTGCTCGTTCCTCCTCACCGCTGTGAAGCTGGTAGGTTCAGGTGGCGTCCTGAAAGGTGACATCATCTGCTTTTCTTCTTTACTGGATTGTTTTTCCGTTTATCCACCTAAAAGCACCGTAGAGGTGTGTGATGTCCCCTCATCTTTATGTTAGCAGCCTCTAAAGCCTTACAGTTAGTCTTTCAGAGGGAGGTGAGTAGATTTCCTTCCTCAGGGTTAAAAGCCTGCTCTGGAATCTTATTTTTCTGCTTTTCATCAGGTTTCTTTCTCCCTTTTAGAAAGTTTTCCAGCAGTCTGTCCTCTTATCTCATTGTCTGGCGGCGGCTCTGTTGCCTCCAGAGAGGCCCTTGGGGGCCATAAAGGTCTGTGAGCCGTCCCTGTTATGCTGCTGAGAGGACAAGGAGGACATTGATACTGATGACCACAAAGCCGCGCAGCTCGTCCCGCAGCATCATTACACCGACCAGCACACTGCCCTTCAGCTTTCTTTAAGGAACCCGTTCCCTTCAGGGAGGGACAACTCATAGGAACAGGAAGTTTCTGACTGGATTGGCTCTTTTTTATTAATTACTGCTGAATTATTAGATATTAAATAATCCACTGAATCGTCACAATTCAAGATGTTTCTAAACGCAGATCTTTCTCCAACCTGCTGTCAGACGGATGATTTAGCTGTAAAATGACCACGACGAGCAGTTAGGGCTCTGCCCAACATATCAGACATTTTGAACTAAATATCTATCATGTGATTAGAAATTCAATTCTATTCAGTTTATTTCTATAGCTCCAATTCACATCA